CCCCCCCCCCCCCCCCCCCCCCGCCCCGTCAGACTGTTTTGGCATACCGACTTTAGTCTTTGTAGTGTGTTCTTGGGATTATGACCTGTGGTGGTCTCTTTAGGATGTGGCGTGATACGCGAGTTCTGACTCTCTTACTTTCTGTAATGTAGATATTTATTACACATATTTTTGTTTTTCAGGAGTAAGAAGATTGCCATTAAATTACAACCATGGTGCAGAAATACCAGTCCCCAGTGAGGGTGTATAAGCACCCCTTTGAGTTAATTATGGCTGTAAGTACCTCACGTTTCAATTTACTCTGGCTTCTTTTTAAGATTAAATGTGGATGATCTGCAAATCTCTTCTTTGTTATCATTGCTTCCTTTGCTCTGCTATTTCTGTGTTTGTGACTTGTGCCCAGATTCTTCTATGGTTTTTAAGATACAAGCCTCTGAAGCTGCAGATCTATGCGTTTGTGCTGTTGCGATGTTTCTGGGGTGATGGCTGAGAGCTTTCCTCGTTCTCCCTTGGAGAACACAAAAGTGGGATCCTGACCCAGCACTTCCTGTGGATTTTGCTGGTTTTTCTTTGTTCAAGTAGCTGCAGACAGGGAGCAAGGTTTCTTCCCTGTGATGCTTGTTTGGGTGAGAACTCTGGTCCTGAGGGAAGTCACCTCCGGCGGTCTCAGGATTGAGTACTGTGTGATGAAGTTTTCCCTATGTGTTAGTAAGTAGTGCTGCTACCTAAGTTTTTCCACCAAATAATAAGTCCATGATCCAAACCCAGTTCCACAATGAGGTAGCTAAAGTGTTTATTTGTCATCTATCTGAGCTGGGCTGACAACATTCACTAAATTAAGAGGCCGAGCCCTGCTTTCAGTCTCTTGTAAATGACCGCAGAGCGTTCCATGTCGTTCTTTCATGTCACAGTTAAGATGTGAGCCTCATATGGCCATACATGGCATATCAGAAGAGTGCACCTACCGTGGAAATCACACACAAGGGTGTACCTGTGCCTTTGGTACCAAGCTCAGAGCATGCACCACCCAGTAGGGGATGAACTCTGCTCCAGTTGGGGCCCTGTGCCCATTCCTGTCAGAATGAGTATCCCAGGTTGGCCTGGAACTTATGATCTTGCTGCCTCAGGCTTCCAAGTGCTGGGCACTCTAACTGTGCACTGATATTCCTGGCTGCTGCCCTCCTTCCTGCCCCTGGGTGACTATTACCTGCTCTGTATGTGGAAACGCTCAGGAGTTCCTGTTCTTGGAGCTTCTCCTCTCCAGTGTGCTCTGAGATCAGTTAGATCAATAGCCTTGAAATGCAAAAGAAAAACTAACATCCTCTCAAGGGAACATTGCTTGCTCTTTTCCCGATTGAAGTATTACCTGTGCACAGCGAAAGGGCCTCAGTAGCTGTGCAGTTGATGAGTTTTAACAGTAGTCCCCGCCCACGCCTGTCGGGGCAGGACATTTGCATCCTTGACCACAGACGGCTCCTTGTACAGCTTTGTCAGGTGTGGGCCTTTCTTGTTGTTATGTGTGGGAGCTTTGTATCCTAAAAATAGTTTTGTATTTTCCCTAAATATTTTACGTGAATGATTAGAGAGAAAGACGCTCTTCTGTTTACATGCTGGCTTGGCCTCTTGCCCCCCTCCCCCCCTCTTCTGTTTGCATGCAACCCCCCCCCCTCCGCCCCGGACTTGAAGGGAGTTTTGTTAGAGGATGCATGCATGTGGTAGGAATCACACAGGAGTTCAAGAATTCCTGCTGGGACTGGCTGGAGCCTGGTGCTGGAGGGTGGCTCTTGGCAGCAGTTGGCTGTCGCTGGAACTTCTCCCTGTGGGACCACCTAGCTCCACCGGCCACTGACTGCCTACTCCTTTCCCTCCCTTGTGGCCTGCTGAACTGGCTTTCTTGTTGCAGTGGCCAGTTCTTGTCTGTTTCCTTCTTCACATGCGGGAGAGAGGGACTGGACAGAGGCTGGGGTGTTCAGTGGGAAGTCACCTGACTTTGTTCAGTCCGCAAGGCTGCTGAAGTCGGGGAGCACCTGTGTGGGGAGGCACCAGAATGGAGCTGGCAGGTTATGTTGTCCAAAACTTGGTGTGTGAAATAGCTTGATGTGGGCTGATAAGCTGGCTCCAGGGAGCGCTGGGGAGGCACTTGCTGCTAGTTCAGTGATTTGACCCAAGTGGCAGAAAGAGAGACCTGGCGTGAGTTGTCTTCTGACCTCCACACCCGCGCTCTGGCAGCATACTGCCCTTCTCCTAATAAATGTAAAGAAAGGGTTTGTTTTTTTCGAAAATCTTGGTGTGAGTCTGTGGTCAGAGGCAGAGGTTAGGCTCTTCTAGCCCTGGATTTCATAAAAAGGAGTGTGGGTTGCTCAGTGTCCAGACTTCCTGATTTCCTTTATTGCTTTCAAAATTAGGAAGTTTGCTTTGCAAATTCTATGCATGACTTTTGCATAAACTCAAGTTGGTAGCCACCCCAGTTTTTAAAGTCAAGCCGCTTGTAAACTGCTTATGTTTTTGGCAGTGGCTCACTTCCTCTGGGGTTAATTTTTTTCTTAGGTGTGAAAATAAAATATATTTCCTTCCTCCTTCCAGAACTGGGATCGTCTGTTATCTTACACAAGGCCACTCTCCCTTTCCTGCTGCGACTTGGAGCATAAGAGCCTCAGCATTTGCTGTGCTTTATTTGTTTATTACTATTATTAATATTATTAATTGGTTTTTCGAGACAGTGCTGGCTGTCCTGGAACTCACTCTATAGACCAGGCTGCCTGCCTTATTCAAAGATCCGCCTGCCTCTTCCACCCAAGTTCTGGGACTAAAGGTGTGTGCCCCATGCCCAGCTTTTTTTTTTTTTTTTTTTTTTTATGGCAACCAGTACTGTCCCACTGTAGCTCAGGGGGGAGGGGAGCACTACCCAGGTGTGTTGTGGTCTCCCAGGTGAAGGCTGGGAGTAAGGAACTACACCAGTTACAACTTTGTTCATGTGAAGCCCGGGTTTGTGAGGATTGCAGTACATTGTCAGGGGAGCATCGCCTAGTGAGACAGAAGTGACACTTTTTAACTGCATTTCTATAGAGTTAATGAAAATTCACTGTTGGCTTGAGCGTCAACAACATTGAAAAAAATCTTGTTGAGGTTCCATTAGCTCATTTGAATTAAAAAATGGTATTTAAGCAAACAGAGCTGAAGTGGTGGTCTTGACATTCTGAGGTGTTTTAGTCAGCCATTAGCCTAGAAATGGCTGCAGAGAAAGGGCCAGCTTCCTACTGCGGGGCTGAGGGCAGTTAGTGGGGGAGAGATGAGAGTCGATTTCAGAGTTCTTTTCAGCGCCCACGCCCCTGATAGTGCGCATCCCAGCGCATTTTGTGACGGCTCTGCTCCTTCATGATGTCCGCATCCTTAGGGCTCAGCCAGACACATTTCCTGGACTGGCTTTGTTCTTGCTTGGCTCCCTTGCCTGCACAAAGGGTTAATAGTCTCCTGGGAGGACCTGTGTGCTCCACAGATCAGGGGTCAGGACCAGGCAAAGGTTGACATCCTGCGGGGGTGGGGGGTGTGAGGAGGCAGGGGGGCGGCAATGTTTTGCTTAGAAATTTTAGGACAAAGCACAGGTTTTAAAGCTCGGCCAGGTATAGCGATGTGTGAAGAGAATCTCAAATTCAGCCTGGACTGGGTGCAGAGTGAGACCCTGACTCAGAGATTTAGGTACTTCCTGAACTGTGTTAAAGACCCGATGGCTGGAGGGCTGGACTTGTGGAGGGAACTTTGAGGGGCCAGGGTGTGAGAGCCCTGCTGACTGGATATGTAAGAGGGGAACTCTGAGGGCCAGGGTGTGAGAGCCTGGTCTGTTTTTCTGTCAAGGACAGCTGTCCCCGTGGGCAGCTGAGATGTGTAGTGGAAGCTCTGATGGCTTCTGCCCACCCCGCACTCACACATGTCCAGTCCTGCTCCTGCCCCAGCCTCCCTCCCCCTTTCCCTCCTGTCCACACTCCAGTTTCTCTGTCCCTGGTAGGACTGCTTGCCACTGAGCACAGACACACTGAAGATGGTGCCTTCGGGTCACACAGTTGATCCCCTCTGCCTCTCAGTCCCAGCACCTGCCCAGCCTGAACCTTTGTCCCTTAAGTAGCAGTGACCCAGTTATTTGTTCATTTCCCTCCTCAGCGGTTGAGCCCCTCAGGGCTCCTGTGGACCCCACCACTGTGGGTTCAAGAGGCGATATCCCGCTGCCTGCTGCTCCTTCAGGGCCCTGCCTGCCTGTGTCCGGCCCTTTAAGATCAGTCTGTTCTAGCATGGTCTGTGAGCCTGGTGCCTCTGCCCCTCCGTGTCTTTTTATATTCCCTTGCCTCACGTGTTTGCCTTCCCCATCTGTCTCTTCAGATCTTGTTCAGCGTGTCCTGCCCTGCTTCCCTGAAGCCTCTCAAGGCATGCCTCCTGTTCCCTTCCCTTTCCTTCCCCCGGATTCCTTTTTCTCCCGTTTGCTGCTGGGGGATGAACCCAGGTCGCACGCACCCTGGGCACGTGCCCCGCTGCCTGCCGAGTCTTACCCACACTTCCGACTTGTTCTTAGTGTTATGTCAGCATTAGGCACTTGGCTTGTGATTGCATTTGCTTTGCAAAGCTGCTGAGTGTTCCTCAGAATGGGGTGTCGCCAATGTTTCCCTTGGTCTGAAAGCACAGGCATGTGGGGCCTGAGTAGCAGATTTCTGCTTGTTCCCCTGTACCCCGAGGACGGGCTCTGTCTGGATTTGGTGGGAACTCAGATCTGAACTGCAACTGTGACCTGTTCTCATAGGCGTTTGTTTTCTCTGTGAGAGAGGCACAGTGTCCTGGTCCTTAGGTTGTCCAGGGTGTTCCTAAAGAAGGCCCCTCTGTGACGATGAAGTGCTGTGCTTTTTTATCGTGTGAGATGCAGAGGCATTGGTACCCACAGGAGTGCAGTTGAAGAACAAGAAGCCTCCCTTACAGGGTGGTTGTTGATCATATAGCCCACCAGACACATCCGCGGCTGCGCTCCTGCTCCTCCGTTTCTTCCCATCTCCCTTCCCATCTCACAGCCTCTCTCTAAAACAGCTGAAAGGAGGAGAAAGGTTGGCACAAGTCTCCATGCAAATTCTGCCGGCCCCAACTAGTTTGTGAATAGCCAGTGATGGACAGCCACACCTCCTCGGGCTTTTTCTGTTACCCCTTCCCCCACCTCCGCATATCAGACAAAAATGAGCCTCTCTTCAGTGAATCTTCTAGATCAAATGGCATTTATATTTCAGCTTTGTTATTCCAGCCA